CCCCCAGCTTGTAGAAATGCAGTGTAAAAAGAGAACACCTCTAAGGCGGTGTTGCTTCACGTGGAGCTGTATGATCCATCTGCAGTGCAGCATAGGGCTTGAGGCTGAGAAATCGATACTGTTTCATAATGTCATCTTTGTCACTGGATGACAAAGGATTTCTCTTTTTATTTAATCAATGAAATAGCAATTCTTCCACAGTACTACATCGCTTTCCTGTTTCAGTCCAGAGGGAGCTGAAATAATAGGCATATTTTTCAAGATTATATTAAACTGGAGGGCCCTAAATGTGATTTTGCTTGTGTCACAGACTACTTTGGATTGTCAGAATACTTTATAATTTAATATTCTCCCTTTTGCCTTTCTTCTTCACTTTTTCTCCCTCTCCAGATGAAGTCATAACATCTCATGGTGCAATTGAACCAGATAAAGACAACGTACGGCAAGAGCCGTATTCTTTGCCACAGGGCTTTATGTGGGACACTTTAGACTTGGGTAATGCCGAAGTGGTGAGTAGAACTCTGTAATACGACACCTGCCCTCACAGAAGTCACTTCTGAGTTGGTTCTGAGCACCATAGGTAGGATGCTTGTTTCCTCTTGTAGCTCAAGGAGTTGTACACGTTGTTGAATGAGAATTACGTGGAAGACGATGACAATATGTTCCGGTTTGACTATTCGCCTGAGTTCCTGTTGTGGTAGGTCTCACTGGTCAGGAGTGCCGTGGAGGGGCTGCTGGGCGGGGAGGTCCTGTGTCTGTTCCTGTATCCTTAGACACTAACCAGTGCCTGTTTTTCTCATCGACTCTGACTTCAGGGCTCTGCGTCCTCCAGGCTGGCTCCTCCAGTGGCACTGTGGGGTCAGAGTGTCTTCAAATAAAAAACTCGTAGGGTTCATAAGCGCCATCCCAGCAAACATTCGGATTTACGACAGGTACATGTTAAAGCTTGTCCAGGCCAGTTTTTGTGTGTTTCTTTGTATGCCAAGAATTGCAATTAGAATAGGCTCTTAACAGTGACTTCATGCGGGCTGTTGATAGTGGGAGAGGTTGAGTGTGGGGGGGGACTGGAGTTGGATGAGACCTCTGCTCCATTTTTCTGTAAACCTAAAATTGCTCTAAAAAATAAAGTTTATAAATTAGGAAGGGAGGGCCGGCCCGGTGGCGCACTCGGTGGAGTGCGGTGCTTGGGAGCGAGGCGGCGCTCCCACCGAGGGTTCGGATCCCATATAGTAGACCGGTCCGCTCACTGGTTGAGCGCGGTGCGGGCGCGACACCGAGGGTTGCGATCCCATTGCCGGTCGCGGTACGGGTGGGCACGACACCGAGGGTTGCGATCCCATTACCGGTCACGAAAAAAGGCAAAAAGGAAAAAAAAAAAAAAAATTAGGAAGGAAAAAAAATCCCAGACTGTGAACCAAAAAATAAAGGACAATGGTCTTTCTCTTTCCCTTTGCCTTTATCTCTATCTCTCTCTTTTTTCTGCCTCTCAATCTCATACATACACTTGTGTACGTATTATAGACATATACATATATGTACCTATACATGTATATATGTATCAGAATAAACAAAAGCCATTAACAGGTATTTCAGGTTTATTTCTGGGAAAAAAAGTTACTCAAATTTTAGGAGGGGTAAAAAACTTTCTCTGTGTAGGATAAGTATGTTGCATTTTTGTTCTGGATCTGCAGCCCAGAAAGTCAAAGATCCAGCTATGAAAGTCAAAGAGCTAATGCATAATAGGTCTGTTTACCTTTTAGTATATTAGGTTAGCTTATTTGCTGCTAAAAGCATTTGATCTTGAGGAATATTGTGTAACAAACGAAATGCCTGCATACCTAGAAGCTGAGCCGGAATGGGCTTTGAAGCTCTAGAAGGTTTATTGTGGCTCAGAAAAGCAGCAGCTCTGGTCTGGTCAAGACCCTTCTCAGGAATCCTGGGGATTTGTATCATATTCCAAAGTATCATCTTATCAGACTGTGCACTGGGGTGACCCAGTTATTGCCATAATTATATACATTACAGGAAAAGAGATGTAGAAACTTTAAGAGGCACATCTGATCCAGTTTCTAAACTGAAAACTTACAAAAGACCAAAGTCCTAAAATCTATTTAGAACAAGAGAGTTTGAACCTTCATGGTCTAGAGTTACAGTCATTTCAGCAGGGGAATTGGGTCATAGTGTTTTCGATCAGACTTTCTGAAATGTCTAAATATAAAATATTTTTGTCAAATGTGTGTTAAAGGACATCTTTCACTTCTTATTCTTTGAAATTTTATGGGTCATGTCTTATTTTAAAAAATGTGTTCTTCTTGTGTTGGCTCTAATTTTTGACGTTTTTATTTCTTAGTGTGAAGAAGATGGTAGAAATCAATTTTCTTTGTGTTCATAAGAAATTGCGATCAAAACGGGTAGCCCCAGTGTTAATTCGAGAAATAACTAGAAGAGTGAACCTGGAAGGAATCTTTCAGGCTGTGTATACTGCTGGAGTAGTTCTTCCTAAGCCTGTGGCCACATGCAGGTAATAGTACCTCATTTCTACTTCGAGTCTTCCCTTTTCCAAACATGTTGCTAGAAGTATTATTCTCCTTGGGTGTAACTCAAGGGATTTTGGTTTATGCCTGATTATGTAATTTGTTGGCAGCAGAGATAGAGACTAGAACCAAGAACCACTGAGTCTAGTATTCTTCCCCGTATATTACACAGCCACTTGGTGATTAAAAAAAAAAGTTTGTAATGTTTTCCTGCTAATGATGCTGGATCTATATTTCTGTTTTTATTCCATTTGAAAGATTAGTGCTGTCTAAGTGTGGGGAAACTTAGGGCATTGTGATCTTGAAATGTCCAATGTCATACCATTTTGTTTCTGCCTCAACACTCAGTTTTTTATCATGTTTGCAGCACTATGGAACTATTCCAAAAGTCTGATGAGTATCAGTTGAAAAGCCCTTGAGGTATTGGTTTGCTAAGAATAAGAAGGTTTAAGCTCTGTTTTTATGACTTCATCTGCTCTAGTCAAGCTTTCAAAGGTTATTCCAGTGAGAAAATGATCAGATTGTCACTGGACTAACCTGTTTTTAAAACATTAGAAAGAGTTTATCTCTCTCCACTATTTTTATTGACTCAAATAGGATGAAATTTCAAATAAACATAGTACAAAAGGTAAAGCTGTAAAATTACTATACTCTATTAAATTATTATATCTATAAATAAACAGAATAAAAGACTTCACAGGTATATTTTAATATAAAACATTGATACCAGTACCTAAACCGGAGTCACTTAAGAAATTCAAGCTAGTTTCTCAAAAAATTGTTTTCTTTGGTGTGTCTTCTGTAACAATGAAGGCTACAAATTTAGGGGAGATATTTTCATGTTTTTAAACTTTTTGGTTTGCCTTCCATAGAATCAGCGCTGGTCATTAAATATTTGCAAATCTAGGCATGACTAATATTTCTTTTGCAGCTTTAAGATTCCTCTTTAGTAAAAAGGAAGAAAGATCACAAACTTCAAAGGAACCTAACTAGGAATTAAGATATATTTTAGATAGAGACAAAAAATTGATAAAATTATTGCGTAGGAAGACAGCCAGCATCCAGCACTGTGCCAGGAACAACATGAGTATTCAGTAAATGCTTATGTAACAGGTGAGCTGAACAAAGAGCAAAGACTTGTAGAGTTAGAAATCTATTAGGTTTAAAAATCTTTGTTGTATTCCAGATACTGGCATCGATCACTAAACCCCAGAAAATTGGTAGAAGTGAAATTTTCTCACTTGAGTAGAAATATGACTTTACAGAGAACAATGAAGCTGTACAGACTTCCGGATGTAAGTAAGAATGATTTGCAGTTTTTTGAAGCTGTAACAACTGAAGCTTTTAATGCAGAAAAGAATTATTTGCAGGAGTCTGAAAGCACACTCCTGTGTCTGAGGAAGTGAATCTGTAGCTAAAATGACTGCTTAGAATTCAGGAGCTAGGAAAAGTAAGGGAGTTCATTTGGAAATACCAGTTTTGTTTTTTCAAGGCTTTTTAAGTTCTTCAGCTTGTAGTAGGGTGAAATTGAACTTAAGACAAGTAAGTTTTGAAATTTTGAGTATTTATCGTTTGTTAAGTAAAAGGGAAGAAAAGTTCAGGCAGCTGCTTTCTTAACACAATGGAACTAAGGAATTAAGTTTAGAGGACAGACCAAAAGGAAGGAAATGATCTCATTAAATTATCATCTTTTTAAACTAGCAAATTCCCAGTATGAAAAGTTATTATTTTTAATAAAGAAAAATTTAAAGTCTTGGCTTTGTTTGGGTTGGATGGTATATTAGTTATCTATTGCTACGTAACAACTTACTGCAAACTGAGCAGCTTCAGATGACACACTTATCGCACAAGTTCTGTGGGTCAGGAATCCAGGCACAGCTTAGCTGAGATCTCTGCTTCAGGGTCTCTCGTAAAGCTGCCCTCCAGGTGTCAGCCACGGTGGTGGTCTCATCTGAAACTTGACTGGGAAAGGGTCTGCTCCCAAGCTCACATGGTAGATGGCAGGATTCAGTTCCTTGCTGGCTCTTGGACTTAGGGCCTCAGTTTCTTGAAGGCTGCCAGAGGTTGCCCTCAGTTCTTTGCCACAGGAGCTTCTCCATAGGGCAGCTCATAGCATGGTGGCTTGCTCATCAAAGCCAGTGAGGGACAGCGGGTCTAGAGAGAGAATCTGCTAGCAAGCTAGAGAGAGAATCTGCTAGCAAGGTGGAAGTCAGAACCTTACATAATAAAATCATGAAAGTGATATCCAGTCACTGTTATCATTTTTATTGGTTAGAAGTGAATGAATCACAGGCCCTGTCCACATGCAACAGGAGCAGATCACACGAAGAATGAACTCCAGGAGGTGGGACCACCGGGGCCGTGATAGAATCTCTCCACCACAGCTGGGATCTTTTGTTTGGAGTTTTGCTTATGCAAATTGAAATAAAAACTTCAAGCATGCCTTCTTTTTTCATGAGGGGCTAATTGTACTTTGCTATTAATGCTATACTACATCCCCAAATTTCAGTTTATTGAACCTAAAGCAAGCTAGCTTATGCATCAGGAAAACACCCACTTACATGTAGTTGCCTAAAGTGGATTAAAGACTAAGGAGTTTTCGTACCTATCATTGGTTTATTCAGGACGATTACCATCTAAGGTGTGAAAAGTATTTTTGACCTGACTTTGTTAATCAGCCTTTATATTTTGGTACAAGAATCCTCCCATTCATGGATAACAAAGTTTTGACCTGTTAGTAATAAATCACCGTTCAGGCACTGGTTGTGAAACCAGACTCTGGCATCTTACTTGCAGTTAACCTAGGTTCCTTGGGTAGCAGTCCTACTCCAGTGCTGTTGCAGTGGCTGCTTTTCTCCCCTCACCCCCCAAAATTGAAATCTATAAAGTATTTTCACATATATTATTCGATTTATTCTCACAACCTTTTGATGTTAGTACTCCTTTCCCCATTATACAGATAAAAAAACTGAGGCTCATGAAGGTTAACACTCAGGCAGGACCTATCATTAAGTGGGGCCTTGGGATGTAAGCCCAGGCTTCCCTGTTAGGTCCCTTTGCTCCTGCCATCACCTCTAAAACACCCGCTACGGGGGCATCGTGGCCTAGTCCCACCAGATGTCTCGCTGCGCAGTCATTACAGCACAGGTTAAGACAGAAAAGGATGACTGTCCAGACCCAGATGGCTGTCACTGGCATGTTCCAGTCTCCTTTCGCCCTTGTAATTCATAGGAAAGGAAAATGGAGAGTAAATGAATGGAAAAAAAGAGAAGGAAACAGAGTTGAAAGTACAGATACTAGAAAATTGGAAGGTGCCTACAACAGTCACCTGGGTGTCTGCCTTTTGAGCTAAAAGCTGGACAATGCCCCACATAGGAGACTCCTCTTTTCTCTCCCATGGGCCCAAATAGATGATACCACTCACTGCTTGCAATGAAGTCATTTAAAAACATTTTTGTACCATTCAGCATAAAAAGAATCTTTTGCTCTATGGATCCATCTCACTTTCTCATTCATCACTACTGTTTCTGCGTATAGTGCCTGCTTTATGTCTTCTTCATGGACTTCTGAAAATAGGAGCTAACATTTACTGGAGCCAGCATTATGCTAGAAATTTAACATCTGTAATCTCACCGATTATTCATAACAGTCATAGGAGGGCAGGCCGTTATCCCTGTATCACAGAAGAGAACATTGAAACACAAGATCAACTTTCTCAGAGTCGGCTGGTCAGGAGCAGGTCTATCCCAGAGCACACACCACTAGCTACTGTTACCTAAAGCACTAACGTGTCCCCAAGAAACATGTCTTACCATGTCTCCCTACCCTTTCAGTGCTGTTGTTGTGTTGTTTTAATTTGGTGTTGAGTATTTCCAAATGTAGTTGGACTTTGTGTGTGTCAGTGACCTTAAATATTAAGGAATTTGAAATAGATAAAAATTAGGAGTCAGAGATTATTCTGTGAAGGTCCTAGCAGTGTGCTGTAAGAAGGATGTGCGTGCTGAGACATCTCCTAAGTCACATGAGATGTTCTATATTTAGTAGCGTTAGATGATTTTTTTAGTGTTTAGCATCCTCCTGCTCGTTTTGTAATCATATAAATAATAATCATAGAAATAAGCATAATCATTACTTGTATCTCTGCTCTGGAATCTTGGCTCTAAAACAGTTCACACCACATTGTTTGACAGATAACATTACTTCTGTTTTTTAATAGAGCTCTGAACTTTACTTCCTTATGCACTTAGAAGCAGTTTTATCATCCCACAAAGTAGGGAAGGAAAAAAACAGAAGCAGATTTTACGCAAATTATTTAACATACATAGAGTCCAATGACTAATAAATATTAGTTGGGCAGTGGGAAAGTATATCTGATTCAGATATAGAGTTTGCTTATGAAACTTAAGATTTTCTCAGTTACTGGAAATGTTTGTTTGCTTTTTATTCAACCGTCAGAACACATAACCACTTCACTCTGTTCAATTATACAAAAGCTTAACCATTTTTACCAAAGCTTAAGAGTATTCCCACCGTTTCCTGAAGACAATGTAATTTGAGTGTTTATTTCACATTTTAAAAATTATTTCATTCTTCTATAGATTTTTTTATCCATTGCTAGCCAGCAAAAGTAAATATTCTTCCCGTTTTCTAGGACTTTTTTTTTATAGCTAACATACCACACTCTGATGTTCTCTTCTGCTCCGATGCTTCTCAAGTAAAAACTTGTTTGAGATGCTTATAAATTGCCTAGTTTATGATACTTTTTATGTGTTTGCCCAAACATAGTGTTTCACTTAGTCTTTCTTGTCTAAATTCTCCTGCTATTTTTCTGATCTTCAGAGACCTAAGACAGCAGTTCTCAAAGTGTGGCCCAGGGCCCCCTGAGAGTCCCCAAGATTTTTGAATCTATGAAACCAGCGCTGTTTTCATAATAACACTATAGTATAATTTGCATTTTTCACTTTCATTCTCTTATGAGTGTAATGTAAAGTCCTCCAGACACTATACGGAATGTATGCTTAAGAATTCTTTTGTTTTAAAATGTTTTTTAGTTTTCATTTCTAATATGATAAATGTGCATACCCTTAACCCACATAAACAAAACTTTGGGGGTAAAGAGTATAAAGTAGTCCTGAGACCAAAATATTTGAGAACTACTGCTTTATTGATGTCTGCTGGACTAAAGGCATGTTGGTTTTAGTGATTTCATAGTATGAATATTCAGTAAGTGAGAATTGTACTCCAGGAGAATATTTTGCTCTAGAGAAAAGTCAGCAAAATATTTCTTCATTTCTGAATGTTCTTTATTAACAGATATCATATATTCTTTTGCTTTCATTAATTAATCTAATTGCTTGATATTGTTAATCATTATTGAACCAGTAACAAAAGAAAAAAAAATTCTGATATTGTTAAAGGCTATTTAAAATTTATCAAAATAAAATAAGGTAAAATTTATCAAGCAAAGTCTGCCTCATAGTAGAAAGTCATTTTTAAAATGACTTTACAGGGGCCGGCCCGGTGGCGCACTGGATAGTGCCCCGCTTGGGAAGCACGGCGGCGCTCCCGTCCGAGGGTTCGGATCCCACGTACAGACCGGCTCCCGCTCACTGGCTGAGCGAGGCGCGGGAGCAACGCCGAGGCTTGCGATCCCGTCGCCGGTCCCCGGTCC